CATTTACCGTCAACATTAGCAGAAATTTGGCTGGTTCGTGGAATTTTACGCAAATGAGTGACGTCACTAGCGGACTGGTTCTCCGGAAAGAGGATTATAAGTGCAGTGAAGCCTGTAGATAATCCGGATTAAGACAGTTTCCCCACTTCTCTCGCAAAAGAAGAGACGTACAAGGGCTTGGACGTGTGATGAGCCCCTTGGGCGAACGAGCAATGTGAAGTTATTAACTTCAGTTTCAGATATCAGAGTTTCGAAAACGGGCTGCTTTTATTGATGTGGGTAAATCGGTGCATGAGTGAGAGCTTGAAACTCTCATGTCTACGTTTCTCTCTTTATTTGTCCTGAAGGTAAGAGGAAGCCAGATCTTAGATTTGATGATATAAGCCAGATCGTAAGAGAGAATGGTTTCGATTGGATCCATCTGCCTCACGAGAAGATCTTGTGGGAGGCTGTGGTCCATTTGGTTCGTTTCTTTATTTATTTAATAATTTATTTCACTTTTTATAAAAATTTCGCGCTTAATTTATTTGTATTTATTTATTTTATTTTTATTTGTAGTGTTCTGTCTGACGACAGGTCCATATGAACAGGATCCTTCCATCCTTTTCTCGGACTGGGACCTGTTCATATACGTTCTTGGCAGATGATCCAGAAGTGGTTTGCCATTGCCTTCTTCTGTGTGTGAATGGAGTAATTGTTGGGATGCCACGGAGAAACCGGGGAAGCCCCCGGAGGAAAACTCCGTGATGCCTAGACCACAGCCTTGCCCAACACAAGTTATAAATTTGAGCACCACCGGGAATTGAACCCGGGACCCCAGGCTTACAAGGCTAGTGTTCTGACCACTAGACCTGCTGTATAGTGTGGTAGGAGTTTTCCGATGTTTCAGAGGACCCTGCTGCCTATATCATCAAGGCTATCGGCCTGATGATGGATTTCCACCAGACTACACGGCGAAACATCCAAGTAAATAGCCATTTTCGGATTCACCGTCGTTAAGACTTGAAATGTATCCTTTATCATTTCTTCTTTTGTACCATATTTTCATGACCGTGACTGTACCTATTGTACGTACAGTAGATCGACAACTCAGACTGTCCAGGGTGAGGCTTGAGACAGACCGTGAGCGGTGGGGTTTGCATTATCGTCACCGAAATTCTGTTTGGGGGAGGTATGTTTCGCAGACAGGAATCAGACAAATGAGCACCTCTCTATCTGCACCCGCGGGGCGTCCATGCAACAGTGATGCAAGTAACTCCTGCCTGATACAACATAAACAGACTTTGGATTGAGATTATTGAGGTTTTCACGGTGATGAACATTAAGATATATGTGTTGTGTGATGTGGCAGCCATTATCCATCATCATTCTGACCGTGTACACGATAAGACCCTCTGAAACGTTGGTAAATTTCTATCAGATTTCGTATTCGCTAATTACCGTCAATGGATCCTGTTCCGAGCCAGTTGAATCCAAATCGAGTCCTTAAATCTTATGATCTGAAGCTTTCAAGGCGACTAAGTGTAATTCAAATTAAATTCTTCTCGGGCTACCAGCCGTGTCAGGTGGTTGAATGGAGAGAAACCCGTCGTTTCGAGAACCATCTTCGTCCTCGTCATCAGGGTACTGAATTTCAGTACCCTGAGGACTGGCTGGAGGCTTTAAAGTCCACTGGTAACTATATGTACCACCCGATTTATCAAGCAGTAACTTCTCAGTTTGTATTTATGTGTTTCGTATGATTCTCACTAAACAGCGATCATTTCCTTAAACAGCGTTAACCAGTTGATCTTTGTAATGGTGAAGTGTTGTGTTTTCTTCGCGGTACGGACTGAATTCTTAAATGTTATTTTGACGTGCTACGGGCTTAAAGAGTTAGTCAACAGCTCTTAAAATATATAATTAATGAATCTTTAAGGTTGTTCGCTGTCTGCTTCATAGTTCATTTTACGCTTGTTAAGGGGAAGTCCATTGCATCTGGACCTTAATATATTAATCTATTCCAATGTTTAATTTGACCCTGGGGGCCAAATGCCACATCCATCATTTCTGTATTGCAAGTTCTGCATATTCAACGCCTTGAAATCTAGACACGCGACTCGGCGTGATTTGTCTCCAGAAGACGTTGTTATTCAAATAACGAACCACGTTACTTTCCGTGAACATTTTCTGTGCCATCAGATGCTAATTAAACTCGTGTTGACTGTGAAGTTGGCAGCACGCTAATTACATACAAGTGGGACGACTGCCTTGTATGGGCGTGCGATATTATTATTTTCGTGTCTACATTAAAGACTTTGATGACGGCAGAGGTTACAGAGAAATTTTAAAGTAGTGTATGATATTTCAGCACAAAGTACAGAGAGACGTAACTCCACTACTGCTTTAACTGGGGAGGGGCATAATTTTTATTTGCAGCTACGGAGGTCCCCAGGCAGTGCCCGCTCGTCTTTCTTATAGAAATATGGTTATTAAAGGTAAGGCATTTGGAAGTGGTAAACGTGGTATTAAAAGTGAAGTAGGGGGAAATTCGCCACGGTGGTCTAGCGGTTAGAACGCTGGCCTTGTAATCCTGGGGTCTCGGGTTAGATTCCCGGCGGTGCCCGAATTTATAACTTGTGTTGGGCAAGGCCGTGGTCTAGGCAACACGGAGTTTTCCTCCGTGGCATCCCAACAATTACTCCATTCACACACAGAAGAAGGCAATGGCAAACCACTTCTGGATCTTCTGCCAAGAACGTATATGAACAGGTCCCAGTCCGAGAAAAGGATGGAAGGATCCTGTTCATATGGACCTGTCGTCAGACAGAACACTAATAATAAAAGGGGGGAATTAGAGCAAGACTACAACCCAGAAGACAGCCATCTTCCCACTCACCGCCTTGAAAAAGACACGCGTTTAATATGAAGGAAAGTTTAATTCACATTCACAACGACACAATAGCTCAGATTGTATAACATCGAAAGCTAATTGATGAATAATGAATTGGAAATGATATGGAAGGAAACGGTCGTGGCCTGATTTAATAAATTATCCCGGTTTTTACCTGGAGGGTCTGAGGAAAGCCAGAAAGGACCTCGAGCAGGATAGTGGCCGGGATCTGAACCCGGGACCTCCCGAAAATTCCCTAATTAGCCACTCTCCTGCTACATCTGTTAGTTTAACGTGGATTAGAGTGAAAGTTCGTTATGTCACTTAGAATATTTTTGCACCAAAGCGCTGAAAGTGGAATTGTTTTGTGCCTGGGGAATGTTCTGGGATTAAAATTGATCCAGCCTGAAAACTCTGCTCACAGTTGCGGATTGACAGGCGAAACACGAGAGAAATACGGAAGGGGGAGACGAAGAGACGTCTTCCAGATCCCGAGAGAACAAAAAACAGAAAAACGCTAGCTCTGTTCACATCTGATCCCTGACCAACAAGCCAAGTCACATTCAAAAGAAAGAATACAAAGTTTTTAATTTGTGGCTAGTCCTTACTCACTGGTAGTTTACTGCTGTATAAGAATTGGACCTCAGGTTTTGCGCCATATTAATTCACCATCGCGTTAACAAAAATTTTGTTTAGGCAGATTAATATGGAGCAGAGTCCATCTTGAGAAGCTGATAGTCTCTCAGCTAGTCATGAAGTCTCCAGTCTTTTACGTAATCCGAATGATTATTACAGTATTCGCAACAGCCCGTCACTGGACCTTATCCTAAGCCAGGTTAGTCCACTCATCATCACGTAGCATCTCTTTAAGATCAATTTTAATATTATCCTCTGTTCTCCGTTATGTGGAGCAGAATCCTTGAGAAGTTTGGTAGTCCCAGCTGGTCAGAACGCAAAAATCCAACGCTGTAATTTCAATAGCCACGTACTGGAACCTGTCTGCATTTGCATTCAAAAATGTCTTAAGTATTTGAGTCAAGTATGTTAGTACGAGGTTCTTAACTATTTAATTTAAGAATTTGAGGGCCTATTATTTTTATAATCTGTACAGAAAATGGGCGCACCTATATAAAGATGGCGTTTGCCGAAATGTTTGCACCGTGTAGTAAGGTAGGGATTGACGTTTCGCACGCGCTTACTGCCTCCATCCTCAGGGCGGTGAGTATTGTCATTATCATAATGATTGAGGCAGTAAGCTCGTCTGAAACGTCGGTCAAGGTATCTTGTATTGTGGATATTGCTAAACTCATTTCTTCAGCATTAAGTAAGCTTGAATTTAGTTTTGGTGAGACGGATGAGATTTGAGATTCTCACGGCAATAAAGATGAAAATTTTAGTCTGGGTTGTAGGCCTTACGCCGTGTGGTCTTCCAGGTAGATACCAGCGTTTTGGAGGAATATACTGTCTCCATACTCAGTGTAGAAGACCAACATTGACGTGTTGAAATGAACTTCCTTTGGACGTGAAATTTTGAGGCAGTGAAGATAGAATAGCACAGAGAGAGAGAGACGGACAATTTTATGGGTTTCCAATACCAGTCTCCTTCCCAACAAGCCCGTATAGATAGCGGCACGTCCTGGGGACTCCCTGGAGAGTGCTTGAGTCGAGGTGCGATGCATGGACTCTCATCTAGCAACGCTCAAGGGCGTTCAGAAACAGCGATGAACTAACTCTTTTGTACAGAACCCGAATGAACAACTCGTCCGGCCACTGGACACAATTATCCACCTCCTTAAGATAAATCTTAATAGTATCTCCATCTGTTTCTTCATTTTCCAAGTCGACGTTTTCCGTGATGTTTCTCCACCAAAATTCTGTATCGATGTGTTTCGTATGATTCTCACTGTAAACATCGATCATTTCCTTAAACAGCGTTAACCAGTTGATCTTTTGTAATGGTGATGTGTGGTGTTTTCTTCGCGGTACGGCCTGAATTCTTAAATATGATTGGTAGGTAATACGGTGTCTATTTCTTCTTCAGTCATTGCAAATTACACCTGTGCCCATCTCATTATGAATTATGTGATATATTTTAAGTAATTAATTAAATAATTAATTTGTGTTCCAGGGCTTTCGTGCGCATCCTGTGTGTGTGTTGCCCTCGTCGGATGCGTAGACGTTACCAGCCGGCGCTACGTTCAAAACCCAGCCAGGTGAGAGATTTATTGTTTTGGTAACTTCATAATTACTGACGAATTTCGTGGGATTACTTGTCAGAATTCGTAATTAAGAACCTAACAGGAGCCAACTGAGATGAATCTTATGACCGTGCAATTTGACGGTGTGGTAGGAGACCTCAAAGCTCTGCTCCTATCACCAAGGCCCGGTTA